AAAACATCAGCAGAAAATTCAGTTCTAATTCTATGGTTAAGATTTAAGAATTGATGGCAAATATATATATATGTATGTGTGCTATTTAAAGCAAGTAGTTTTATAAATTGGGTGAAAAGGTGCTCTGAATACCTCAGGGAAATTTGAACAGACTTGTTAGTATTTTTCATTAGTATTTTTTACTACCCTACTTTTAATAAATAAATGTATAAGTAGATAGATAGATATTTCAGATTTTATTCAAAGCTTTGAAATATTTAAATGTTTGGATATAAACAGATTATTAAACTATTACATATGAGTGGTTTATTCATATAACCATACAATTTTTAAATAAACTATTTTTGGAATAGTCTTAAATTTATAAAAATGGTGACAAAGGTACATGGCTTCCAAACATTCTTCACCCAGCTTCCTCTAAATATAACGTCTTGCATGTGCCAAATAATGATGGAACATTTGTAAAAATCTAAGAAATTAGTATTGCTATAGTCCTATTAAGTAAGCTTCAGAGTTTATTTGGATATCACCAGTTTTGCCACTGTTCTTCTTTTTCTATTTTGGAATCCAAAGTGTGACACCACATATGCAATATTTATTTTCACATATATTAACATACTTGTGTATTTAGTGGCACATAACTCTAATGTCTCTGGATCTGATTAATCTGTTTTATATTTTGACTTACCATCTTTGTAATTACAATATATTATGTTTAAATAACAGGATTTTTCACATTACTTGCAAATTCTTGTTTCAGTGGCCATTGTACAGAATTAAAAAATTAGTGTTTTGTAATAAAACATTTTTAGGTGTGAAAATTACTAATGATAAATGCTACAATGTGTCATGTTTCTTTTAACCCTGTTACAAGGTGCAGGAGATATCACAGCTCACAAATGAAAATAATACATTCTGGCTGGGCACAGTGGCTCACGCCTGTAATCTCAACACTTTGGGAGGCCAGGGTAGGCACATCACCTGAGTTCAGGAGTTTGAGACCACCCTGGCCAATATGGCAAAACCCCACCTCTACTGAAAATACAAAAATTAGCCTGGCATGGTGGTATGTGCCTGTAATCACAGCTACTCTGGAGTCTGAAGCAGGAGAATCGCTTGAACCAGGGAGGAAGATGTTGCAGTGAGCCAAGATGGTGCCATTGTACTCCAGCCTGGGTAACAGAGCAAGATTCCATCTCAAAAAAATAATAATAATAACAATACGTTCTAATATAGGTTTGTCTTGGCAAATCAAAGTTTAGCCGTGTACTATAAAGAAAGCCATTGAAATTCAACTGAAAAGTATTTTCTGCTTAAGGTCTATTAGTAACAAAAATCTGTTAGAATACAGGTTTTGATTATTTGAAGGTATAAAAAAATACTTTGTGCCCATTTGGGAAGAGTTACCTTCATTATTCTTTCATAATATAAATGAAAATTTTTATAGAGAACACCAAAGGCTTTAAGCATTTCTTCTAATTTGGGTGGGGTATTATATGCTTCTGAAATTGATCACTTGTTATATATGAGTATGGTGCCACATGTCCTGATTTAGAGATTCAGTCTTTGAAAGGAAAAGAGAGTACTCTTAAGAATTATGCTAAAACTGCGGACATCAACCAACTTTACTGGTATAAAGTATCAATTATGGTCACATTAACTATACATCATAGCATGTATATGTCAAATATGTCAAATCATGGTAGTTGTAAAAGCTGTAGATGTAACAACGTTGAATTTTTTTTCTTATTTTTTTCTGGCCTTGAATCCATATAAAGTGTTCTGTAGTTACTGATATTCTGTATATCTGATTGACAGATTAGCAGTTCAGCTATTTGAATAAATGTAGTTTTTTTAACTGTTAATAATTTGCATATAACAATTTTCAAACTTTTTGAGATAGTGAAATTTTAATGCAATATGGTTACAAGACTAAGTAAATTTTGTCTTTTATCCACTTATTTATTTATTTATTTTAATTCACCAATAACTATCATGCTTCTGGTCACAGAAGAAAAAATAGTCAGAAAATAAAAGAAAATATTCTTATCTCCTAGAACTTAAATTCTGGTTGGAGTACTTATAAAGAACATGATTTCACTTTTAAATTACTAATTAAGCATTTATCATGAGCATTGTGCCATGGAGTATGTTAGATTTTATAGATATAAAAATCAGTCTCTGGCCGGGAACTATGGCTTATGCCTGTAATCCCAGTATTTTGGGAGGTTGAGGTGGAAGGATTACTTGAAGTCAGGAGTTTGAGGTCAGTCTTGACAACATGGCGAAACCCCATCTCTATTTAAAAACACAAAAATTAGCCCGGTGTGGTGGTGCAAGCTTGTAATCTCAGCCACTCAGGAGTCTGAAGTAGGAGAATCACTTGAACCTGGGAGGCAGAGGTTGCAGTGAGCCAAGATCGTGCCACTGTGCTCCAGCTTGGGCAATGGAGCAAGAATCTGTCTCAATAAAGAAATAAATAAATTTGTCTATCTGTTCTACTATTCCCAATAGACTGTGTTCCCTCTAGACCATGGGTTTGAGATGTTGTTCATACAACAATGAAAATGAAGAGAACATAAATATTTCTAACTATAGATGATATCACAATATAGTGGTGAAAGTACGCAGGGACAGTCAACACACACACACACACACACACACACACACACACACACATACACAGAGAACGGAAGAAGTAATCAGGAATCTTTCACTTGAAAAGAAGACTTTAGATTGTGGGTCACATTTAAGTCAAATCTTAAAATGGAAGAGAGAAGAGAGAGATTCTAGTTGTCATAAACAATGTGTAAAGAGACAAAACAACATTGAATTTGGGAAAAACAGAGAGCTTGATTTGGAAAGAGCTTGGAATATAGGAATGAACATTTGGGGAAATGAAAGTAGAAAGTTGCCAGTGATAGAGGCAGATGGTGACAGGTCTTCTGCCATGCTAAGTGGTCTGGGTGATTTAATATAAGCATGGCACTAATCAGATGTTAATTCTGTATCGTGCCTCTGAAACACTACCCTTTGCACAGTGAGAACTAATGAAATAGTAATTTGCTTAACAAAAGAAATGAATCCTTGAACTATAAGCAGTTCACTGTGGCAATGGCCAGCTCCATGACAGAAAAGACTTCCTTGATTTCGTCTAAGGCATCACTGGTATCTATCCTGGAATACAGTGGATACTCCATATGTGTATGTCTTTAATGCATTAATGCATAATTTGGTGCCTATCAAAAAGGATGACAGCTTATTCATAAACTACATGTGTGTGTTTGTATGCCTGTGGCTTGTTTCAACAGGACAGTATATCCCCCTGTGTGATGAAGATGGTTACTACAAGCCAACACAATGCCATGGCAGTGTTGGACAGTGCTGGTGTGTTGACAGATATGGAAATGAAGTCATGGGATCCAGAATAAATGGTGTTGCAGATTGTGGTAAGGAGAAGGGTTACTTATTTCGTAATTTCCCAAGCACAGAAGTGCTTTAGAGCCTCATTCATTTGTTCAAGCTTTTAATCAGGACTTACTCTATGCAAAGACTATAGAATATATAGGGCAGAGGAAGTGACAAAAAAACTTACTCCTAGCATGTTAAAAACTTGGGTAGATAATAAGTGGTCATTGCATGATTTAGATTTTCTAGAGAGATTAATTAAAAGCTGGGTTCCTTTCCTACTTCAAATTCAGAAAGTGGTTGAGGTACTTCTTTTCCTCTCAGCTGAAGCAGACCTTTTTCATTCATCCTACTGCAAGTCAATAAACTCTATTTATCATGTCTTCAGATGACACCCTTTTGTCTGTATACCTCTGGAGATGGTGACTTAGGGAATATGTGGGTTCACCAGCCAAAGAAATACAAATCTTTTTGAAGTAAAAGTTCATAAATTACAGCTATATGAGCATGTTTCCCTGTGCTTGAGTGAGGAAAATGTAATTTGATTGTTTAAAGGGAATTATAGTTAATATTCAAATTCTTTTTTATGCATTTTTTATGTATTTATTTATTTATTTATTTATTTTTATTTATTTATTTTTTTGAGACAGAGTCTCCCTCTGCTGTCCAGGCTGGAGTGCAGTGGCCAGATCTCAGCTCACTGTAAGCTCCGCCTCCCAGGTTTAGGCCATTCTCCTGCCTCAGCCTCCCGAGTAGCTGGGACTACAGGCGCCCGCCACCACGTCCAGCTAGTTTTTTTTGTATTTTTTAGTAGAGATGG